GGTTTATTATTTTTAATAAGATGGAACACTTTTTATGCTTCTTAATACTGAAATTTACTTTTTTTTGGAAAACAAAAGACTACTTTTATTTTTTTCTACTTTATTCATGAAAACAAAAGCCTAAAGAAAAATAACATTTATTCCCATAAGAGTGGCTAGTAACATTCCTAGGTCATGGATCCCCTTAAAAATCTGACGAAAGTGAGGAACTGTCCTCTGTGTGCACTTCGGCACCTGCCCACGAGTTACTGCAGACAATTTCAGGAGCTCACAGACCCCAAACACACCCATGGACACCAGTTAATCAAGCCCGTTCTAGAAGTTTGTTCTTTTCAAATGCAAACTTGGCACTATTTATTCAGCAAATATTTTTAGAGCACCTGTACTACAAAAAAGCAAAAGCGTTGTTAGAAGTGGGGTAGTAACCTGTGTTTACTAAGCCCTCCCAGTGATTCTGACCCACGTTCAAGTTTGAGATCCAGTGGCCTAAACCAAAATATGCTGTCCTCAGACCCTGCCCCACAGACATTGACTGATCTGGTTTTGTGTAAGGGGGCGGTCATTGCTGTGCTTAAACCCTCTACGGGAAATTGTCAGAGGCAGGCATAGTTGAGACTCATCGGTTTAAACACTGGAAATGTGCTTTCTGGTTCCTGATAAACATTTATAGTCCCGACATGAAGAAGTCTGTTATCCACACCTGTGTGCCCAAGGCTCCCAGAATGCATGGTGGCACCAGGCCGGAGCTCTGAGGGAGTCCGGGATGACCACGCCGTCCTGCTTCTTGCACGAGGGCACTTCGGATGCTGTGTTCCAATGCCCTCTGCCCCTCACCTGACTTACTGTTCAGGAGCAGGAGCCCCAAATCCTGCTTTCCAGTCGATTGATAAATATTAATTTCTAGTTTAGAGTTGTTTTCATGGGAAAGATGGGATACAACCTCTGAGTGGTCTGTATGAAATGAGAGGATAGAAAATCCACTCCTGGGGCGGAGGCTTTCAACTTCCAATTGCCTTCCTTAGTGACAAATAGATCAATTTTTGTTACTGATCAGCCATTCTGCCAACAGTTTTTGATAAGACACTTATGTCATAAGTAATGGAGAAATCTTTGTTTTGAGGAGTATGTAGGCTTTTGATTCACATGACAGACAATATTTGCAAGTCACTGTCCTTTGGAATGTCTGCATGGAGTCACTGTCATCAGAAAAAAGACACTGCCTTGCCCAATCGAGGGATTTTAATTTAATACTGAAATGTGTGTGTGTGTATATATATATACACACACACACATATATGTATATATATATTTACATTATATATGTAAATAATTTAAAAATAATAAATGTCACCATTTTATTGAACATTTATTGTAAGTGGGCACTTTATTGGATATATTACGTACACTAGTTAATGTATTCTTTTTTTTTTTTTTTTTTATCCTCACCCAAGGACATTTTTCCATTTTTTACTCAGATAGAGCGGGAAGGAGAGAGAGGAAGAGAGAGAAACATCGATGTGAAAGGGACACATCGAGTGGCCGCCACCCACATGACCCAACCAGGGCCGGGGACAAACTGCAGCCAAGGTACATGCCCTTAGCGGGAACCAAACCCGGGTCTCTGTGGACCGCAGGCTGATGCTCTAACCGCTGAGCCAAACCGGCCAGGGCTAGTTAATGTATTCTTTACAAGAGTCATTCAGTTATTGTTCCCTAGATTTTGTTCAAAGTCAAATACTCAGGATTCAAACCCAGACCTTTCTGATTCCAGAATCTATGGACTTTTCACTATATTGCACTATCTTCCGTCCTATTATGACACATTGAATCCTGTTATTCATATGCTTCATAAATTACCATGAGTGAAGACTCATGCAACAGAGCTCCAAGCTCCTTTCGCAAATGAACATTTACAATGTTTGAGAAGGAAGGTAGCTGCACAGTGCTCAGCTAACTGTTCTTGTTCCTGTAAGAGCCACCTCTGCTTCAAGCTGGTAAAATATTCTCATTCAATATTGGATTTATCTTGGCAGTGCTATGAGAGCCTGTAGAATGGATTATTCACACAATCATCTTCATTGAAGTAACGGATCAAAATTCTGCTCTAAGGTTATCTGCTGTGAAGGTGAAGAAAAGCTAACCATATTGTTAAGCAAGGAAACTATCCACTTAGAGCCTGATGAATGTGATCTTTTTTATATTAATGAGAATAAACAGACTTTGCCAAATCTTTACTTGGCTCAGTTACATGATCCTGACATGACAACAGCCTGTGGGAAAGAAGTTTCAGGCAAAAAGGAATTTTGGCTCACGTGCTATTTAACAACACTGTGATTCTTCCAAGTATTAATCATTCTAATAACTTATTTGCCTTGTAACAAAATGCGCATCGTGTGCTCCCTAGGAATAAGAAGTCGATGTGAAGACTTTCTTACAAAGAGCTTCCACATCTCTCCATCTGTTCTCTCGGAAGCCTGCAGGACTGCTTTGCAAACCCCAGTGAAGGCATTAGGAGCCTTTGGCCCCCAAAGTTAATCACTTGTCAGCTTCCCATGTAGTAAACACATGGTTGTGCAGTTCTGCATTCTGCCCATAAACCTGTTTCACCTCCTTAGGTTTCAAATTTGATTTATGAATGACAATAATAATTTTAACCCTCGGGTTGATCATGTTGGATTAGAGAGGTGCGTTTCATCATAAGAAAAAATAGAATAAAAAAGACCACCTTAGGGGAAAAGGAAAGTTTTAAGCAAAAATGATACAAATAACTTTGGTCCACGTGGCTGGTTTCCTCACCACAACCAGGGTCCCTAGTGCTCAGCCTCGTGAGCCTGGAAGTGCCAACTTTTCAAGAAAAAGATGATGTGGTGCTTGTTAGGGATATCGCTTTCTCTTTCCACAAATGAAGGCTGACTTATTACATCGATGAGCCTTTTCACAAAGTTAGTTTTTAATCTATAAAATATTTATCTTGTCAGGTATAGGTAAAAGAGAGATGCCTTAAATCCAGCACGTGTTATATCTAATGCCACTGTCATTTATTTGCCTATTGTTTATAGAACATCAGATGTTAAAATAACTTTTAAAGTCTAATACAGTATTTTTAATAGTAATGAGGAGGGAAACAATCTAAATATTCATCATTCAAGTAAATCATTGTAACCATTTGATAGAATGTTGATACCCCTTTAGGAGAAGGAGAAGCGTTCTTCAATGACTTTTTAGTAATATGACAAATATTCAGAAAATAATTCTAAAAAATATCCCAAGATATAAAATTGTTTCCAAAGAACAAAACATGTAAATACATAAACTATTAGAAAGTAATATAGTAGACTAGTAGCAGTATTTATGTATGGGATGTAGGGTTGTGGGTAATGTTCATTTAATTCTTAAAAAAATTTTTTTACAATGGTCACATATTTATGTCTAATTAAAAATCTTATTTTGGTCTATCAGCAAGAAGAACAGTAATAATTTTGAGGAATCTGACAAATTATTCAGTGAGTAACTAAACGTTGCCCAATTGAAATGATAAATGTCCCTAGTCAGTCTCATTAGAGATGTTTATGTTTGGATGTAAAACTTTCATGAAAGTATGTCTGTCTTATTTAAAACAAAAATAAAAGAAAAAACTACAGGTTACTAACATCTTCCAATAAGAGTTTGGTCTTAATATTTTAAGTATTATTTTCTCTAAGCCTTCTCTAGGATGAATAGTTCTACTTGTTTATAACAGCATTACGAATTCAACTACAGTAATACTAAAACTACATGTGTCTTAATGAGGAAAACTAGCCCTGGCCAGTTTGGCTCAGCAATTAGAGCGTCGGCCTGCGGTCCAGAGAGACCCGGGTTCAGTTCCCGCTAAGGGCACGTACTTCGGTTGCAGTTTGTCCCTGGCCCTGGTTGGTCGTGCGGTGGCAGCCACTCGATGTGTCCCTTCACGTCGATGTTTCTCTCTCTCTCTCTCTCCCTTCCTCTCTCTCCCTCCCACTCTATCTGTACAAAAAATGGAAAAATATCCTCGGGTGAGGATAAAAAAAAAAAAAATGAGGAAAACTACTTGTGTCTTAATGAGGGTGTGACTTTTTTCTGTTGAAATAGAAAAGAAAGACCTTGAACTTGCATACAATTCTTTGAAAGACTTGAAAACAATAGAAGCTTCTCCCAGTAGCACAAACCTTCCCCGTGTTCCCTCCTAACAGAGTTTGGCAATCAAGTCATGGACATTACATGATAAATACCATTCAGAGTTTTGCTTTCAACTGCCTTGTTGGCAAAAATTTTGAAACCCTGGAGGTACCAGCCTCAGAAGCTAGACCTCAGTGGGAATAAGAAGCAATAGATAGTCCCAAATCCGAGGAAAGAACAGGTCTAGGTCCACCTAAGTGAGAAACCACCTACCCTTCACTCATTTAAAAGCAGTGATGACTTAACAGGACAAGGCTCAAATGCAAAGTAGGAAGCCTAAGGAATAAGCTAGAACAGAAACTGCTTTTGCTCTGGGGCATTTGACTATTCAGGTACATTTTAACTTTTGTTTTGATAGCCTCATGGAGTAAAGTGGACATTAATAAAAACCCAGGGCATATAAAACGTTCAGAATTGAAGAGGGGACCTAACAAAAAAAAAAAATCTGTGATCCTAAGGGGCTAGATCTTCCGAGTAAGGTGAACACAAAGCCAGTTTTCACAAGTTGCATCCAAGCTTCAGTTCTCCTGAGTGGTGCAGGGAACCTCAGCCTCTGAATTTGACTTAAGGTATCCTACACTTGTTTTGCCAGGATGTGCCTGGAAACTATACAAATCTCTCCTGGAAGAGCATGCTTTCCTCATATCCTCACATTATTCCTGAAAATGCAGGGTGGGGCAAATAGGTTTACAGTTGTTCATATGAAAAATAACACAATAATTAATAAATACTCACTACGGTAAACCTACTTAACTCCGCCCTGTATTCTGAGACAAAGATAATCTGGTATTAAAAGCCAAGTCACCTTGTGCTCTCTTCGGCACACGTATACTAAAACTGGAAGGATACGGAGAAGATTCATTCACATGGCCCCTGCGCAAGGATGACACGCAAACTCGGGAAGCGTTCCATATTTTAAAAACAAAGCAAAACAAACAAACAAAAAAACAAGTCACCTTGCCCTGGTCGGTTTGGCTCAGCGGTTAGAGCGTCGGCCCACGGACCAGAGAGACCCGGGTTCGGTTCCCGCTAAGGGCACGTACCTCGGTTGCAGTTTGTCCCCGGCCCTGGTTGGGTCGTGTGGGTGGCAACCAGTCGATGTGACTCTCTCTCTCTTCCTTCCTCTCTCCTTCCTGCTCTATCTGAAGATAAATGCAAAAATGTCCTCGGGTGAGGATAAACAAACAAACAAACAAACAAAACCAAGTCACCTTAAGAAAGAAACAGTGAGAACAGTAACAGGTCTCTTAAGATTTGAAACACTGAAATGACTAGATACAGACTACAGTCTGAATATATTTACTATGTAAAGAAATAAAAGAAAAACTTGTATGTAACTGTAGGGAGAGGGAAACCATGACCCCACAATTAATAATATAATAATTGGTACTAAGAATTCATTGACCAGATAATTTAGCTAAAGAAAGAATGATTGATTGAACTGGAAAACAAGTCAGAAGATACTCTTCAGAGTGCAATATAGGAAAACAAAGAATAAGTGATAAGAGAATGAAGGTAGCCTTGGCCGGTTTGGCTCCATGGTAGGAGTGTCGGCCCATGGACTGAAGGGTCACAGGTTTGATTCCCAGGCAATGGCATGTACCTGGGTTGCAGGTTCTATCCCCAGCCCTGGTCAGCATCCGATCAATGTGTCTCTCTTCTATCTATATTTCTGTCTCTCCTTCCCTACCTTCCACTCTTTCAAAAAATCAATAGAAAAATCAAGATTAACAACAACAACACACACTTACACACAAGAGAATGGAGGTAGAAGGCCTACATACTTTTAACTTGAATCCCAAAAGAGAAAAGAGAATATGAGGTACAGAATATGAGACACAAACCATAAAAATGACGAGGAATTTTAAAAAATTGATAAACAATATTCATCCACAAATTCAAGAAGCCTAACAAATCCAAGAAAGATATACAGAACTCCACAGTTTAATACAGCACACAAAAACTACCAAAAGACAAAGTCAAAGAGAAAAATCTTAAAAATAACTAGACAAAACATACTTTCCTCCAGAAATGTTTCAATGGAAACTTAAATAAGTTATATCCCAGAGTATGAACCAAGATATTTATTTTAAAAAACCCCAAAATGATGCCATCTCTTAAATTAAGACACTTTTGTTTTCCTTTAATAATTATAAGACATTGATATCTAGTGTCAATTAATATGCAGATACACTAAAACTCCTCAGAAAAGAATAAAATTTTGCTTTTAATATCAATTTAATTTTCCAGAGAAGTTAGACTTTGAGGGGATCCACCTTTATTTTACTTAATTTTTTTATTTATCCTCACCCGAGGACATTTTTGCATTTATCTTCAGATAGAGCGGGAGGAAGAGAGGAAGGAAAAGAGAGAAAGAAACATCAATGTGAGACACATCGAGTGGTTGGCACCCACACAACCCAGCCAGGTCGGGGACAAACTACAACTGAGGTACATGCCCTTAGTGGGAACCGAACCCAGGATTCTCTGGTTTGTGGGCCGATGCTCTAACCACTGAGCAAAACCGTCCAGGGAAGGTACCCACCTTTTAATAGAAGAAGTCAAAAGAAAGAAATACTGAAACATAGATACTCAACTTGATTTGACTCTCTGGGTCTGGGTAGAGGACATGATGCATTTTCTGCAGATTCTTTGTCAAATTTTTAAGTGTATGGTGCACGAGGTTTAGTTTCTGAAAGATTCTGAATATCCCTTTTTTTTCTTTATTGATTTTAGAGAGGGAGGAAGGGAGAGGGAGAGAGAGATAGAAACATTGATGAGAGAGAACATTGGTTGGCCACCTCCTGCACGCCCCCCACTGGGGATCGGGCCCACAACCTGGGCATGTGCTTTGACTGGAAATTGAACCAGCGACCTCTTGGTGCATGTTGGTGGACACATCCGGGCTCCCTTTTGTTTTTTAAAAGCTAAAGGTTGATTGTCTCATTTATGAAAATGAAGGAGTCTTCAGGTGATGAGGGGTGGCGTGAAGAAGTGGGAATAGCATTAGAGGGATCCAAGAAATGTGCATTCCAGTCTCAATTTTAGTCAGTTAGCTGTGTGACATGTGTAAGCCACTCTGCCTCAGAGGCTACAGTTATTCTATATGCCTATCATCTTAAGTTCCAGGCCACATATATATACCTTTGAGTAAACCTAGGTCCCAAGAACAGACATTCACAGTAGTTCTTGGTCTCCAGTCTTTGCCCATGAATGCAGGACATTAAGTTCCACACTATTTCTAGGTGGCACCCAGAAGCGACCATACATACGCATGATCTTAGTGATTTTATTTCCCTGTGACTTATACCTTCTCCCTATTGTTTTGACTGTCTTTGGGAGTCTGTAGCTGTAACCTCCAAAATGAGATGTAAATATCATCCCGCAACAAGCCTACAGTTCAGGGTCCCACTGAGGACGGGGTCATATCTCTGGAGACCTCAGTGCATCGAAGTGGTGGAGAGCCCCGTTTTGGATTACTCTGTCACCTGGCGCAATGCTCCCTGACTCCCTATGCCCGTAGAGAGATCAGGGAGACGGCTCTTCCACATTTTGTTTTCTATAGGCTCCACGCTCCCAGGGGTGCAGCTGGGTACAGAGAGAGGAAGGCACAGAAAGCAGGGCAGGCTATACGCATATAATCATGAAGTGACATGAGCCGGACACTCAGAGTGAACCTTCTGCCACGGCTGTCCACTCTGCTTAGGCTTCTAGCATGCCTCAAAGCTTAGGACAGCTCCTACCCAGAGGCATGACTCGGTCACTTCCCAGGGCTCATTCAGTTTGAACATTTTCATCAACTCGGGTGTTTCAGGAAAAGGCCCATCCTTACTGTATTGGGTTTAAAAATTCTTGCCAATGCACTGAGCAAAATGACGTCCTGAAAGCACTTCATTAGAGACTCAGTCCTTTGGATTTGGTGTATTTTCCAGTCCTCTATAGAAATGCTAAGGATCCTGGGCTTCTTGTATGTTAGCTGGCTGATAAAAAAAAAAAAAAAAGGCCAAGATTTGGAGCCTTAGAAGGAGGTAGAGAGTAAGAGCTATGCCTTTTTTTTTTTTTGGTTCTTCTCATTATGTAATGTATTTATTCATTTTTTTTTTTTTTTTTTTATTGCAGAAACATTTATTGAGGGCTCTTAGGGGCTGCATTGTGTTCCCCAAAAAGACATGTTGAAGTCCTAATCTCCAGTGCCTCAGATGTGGCCCTATGTAAAAATAGTGTCATTGCAGAGATTTTGGTTAAGATGAGGTCACAATGGAGTAGGGGGGGGGCCCTTAATCTATTATGACTTGTGCCCTTATAAGAAGATAGTCATTAAAAACAGAGACACAGCCCTGGCCGGTTTGGCTCAGCGGTCAGAGCGTCGGCCTGCGGTCTGGAGAGACCCGGGTTCGGTTCCCGCTGGGGGCACGTGCCTCGCTTGCAGTTTGTCCCCTGTCCTGATTGGGTCATGTGGGTGGCGACCACTCGGTGTGTCCCTTTTGCGTCGATATTTCGCTCTCTCTCTCTCCCTCCCACTCTATCTGAACAAAATATCAAAAAATGTCCTCGGGTGAGGATAAAAAACAACAACAACAACAAAAACAGAGACACAGGAGAATGTCATGTGAAGACAGAGGATTAGGATGATGCCTCTGTAAGCCAAGAAACACCAAAGATTGCCAAGAAACCACCAGAAGCTAGAAAAAGGCAAGGAGTGTTCCCCTATAGGCTTAGGAAGAAGCATGTTCTCTGCGATGCTTTGATTTCAGACTTTTAGCCTCCGGAATTATGGCTTATGCTCTTTTAACAAACTATAGAAATGATCCCTGAAAGTATAGTCTTGACTTATGCTCTTTTAAGTTATCCAGTTTGTCCTATTTTATTATGGTAGCCCTAGGAAACTAATACAAGGGCCTATGTACCAATTCTCGTTCTAGTGGCTTTGAATCAAAGTTTAAAAAAATGTGGTTTCATCTTCAGGGACGGGGGTGGAGAGAGAGATTGGTTAAGAATTTTGTATTGTTAGGAGAAGGGCTTTAAAATTATCTATCTATCTATCTATCTATCTATCTACTCTAAAATAAATAAAAAGATCAAGCTGTTATAGAATGACTTGGGTAAGATGCTCTCTTATTTTCTTTCTTTGAAAGTACTGAGATGACAGCTTTGGAGATCGAAAAGATGGTTTATGTTTACAACAAAAAGTAAGCAGGGATCACCCTGGCCGGTTTGGCTCAGCGGTTAGAACGTCAGCCCGCAGTCCAGAGACCTGGTTTCAGTTCCCACTAAGGGCACGTACCTCGGTTGCAGTTTGTCCTTGGCCCCGGCTGGGGTCATGTGGGTGGCAGCCAGTCAATGTGTCTCTTTCGTATCGATGTTTATCTTTCTCTCTCCCTTTTGCTCTATCTGAAGATGAATGCAAAAATGTCCTCAGGTGAGGATAAAAAAAAAAATAAGCAGGGATCACTAGAAGTCAGCAAGACTTTACAAAGAACAGGTTCTATCAGGGTCAATTCATCACCTGTGACAGGAAAGTCAGACTGGTAGTTGACAAAGTGTATTGGCCTGGCCGGTGTGGCTCAGTGGTTGAACATTGACCCATGCACCAAGAGGTTACCAGTTCGATTCCCGGTCAAGGCACATGCCCAGGTTGTGGGCCCAATCCCCAGTTGGGGGTATGCAGGAGGCAGCTAATCGATGTTCTCTCTCATTGATGTTTCTATCTGTCTTTCTCTTTCCTTTTCTTTCTCTCTAAAAAAAAAAAAAAAAAAAAGAATTTACTATCACACCTGATAGTTTTCCTTATGATGTTCTTATGGACAAGATGGAGTGGTTGACTTGGCAATTGAGGGAACAACTGTACCTATGGATTGATGATTAATTAATGGAGCTATGCCAATCTGGGTTGAGGTTTCCAGTGGAATGCCAAAGAG